TAAAAAATAAATAAAACAAGAAAAGGCTGGAAAAGAATCGAAGAAAACCATAAATGTGTAATTGAAACTCCAAAAGAGAGGATTGGTGTACCTAACGGGTACAATGTACACTATCTGGGTGATGGGCACACTTATAACTTTAACTCAAGCAGTACAAAAACAATCCATGTAACCAAAACATTTGTACCCCCATAATATTATCAAATAAATTTAAAAAAGAGAGGATTGGTGAAGAAAAAATTTTTAAAGAAATAATAGTCAACAAAGACAATGTCCTATACTTAGAACCTATAAAATTGCTTTGTAGTTTAATATTTGTTAAATTAGTTAATTCACTGTACAAAAAACAAATCTGATGGTTTTCATTTAAAAAAAGGTCAAAAATGTCCAAATTAGACGCAAAATATAAACCCACCGATCCGAAAAGCAAAATGGACAGAGAGCAGAATAAACAAGAGAAACCACATGGCAAATGTCTAAAAACCAATAATAATGAGAAAAATCTTAAGATGGTGGGGGAGGGGTGGACGAGGGGACTTACACAGAGTTAAAAGCATGCCCACTGAATTTTCATCAGAAACATAGCAAACCAAGGCAATAAAATGACATTTTGTAAGTGGTGGAAAACAGATCTAGTATTTTTCAAAAATGAAGATGAAATAAAGATATTCTCAGATAAAAGCAGAGAAAACTTGTTGCCAACAGATATATACTGTGAGAAACAGTAAAAGAAGTTTTTAAGCTGAAAAACAATGATACAAGATGGATATCTGGGATCTAGGAAAAAAAATGAGTACTGAAAACAGGAACATTAAATATGTAACAATGTATAAATATAAATGGATTGTAATCAGAATTATTTCTGACAACAATGCAACAGAAGTCAATAACAAGCTGGGTGTGGTGGCTCAAACCTGTAATCCCAGCACTTTGGGAAGCTGAGGTAGGGATACCTTGAGGCCAGGCAATATAGGGAGACTCAATCTTTACCCCCCAAAAAAAAAAAACAACCAAAACCAAAAAGAGAGCAAGGCATCAATAACAAGAAAGATATGTAGACCATCCCCAAATATTTAGGAACTAATAAGCAATATACTTCCAAATATCCCATGGGTCAAAGAAGAAATCACAACAGAAACTAGAAAATATTTTGTACAATATATAAAAATTTATGGGAGTTAACCAAAGCAGTGTTAGAGGAAATGTATAGCTCTAAATATTTCTACTGGAAACTAGAAGGGCATAAAATTAATAACCGAAGTTTCCACCTTACAAAAATAAAACTTAAACACAAAGTGAACAGAAGAAAGCAAATTACAAGGATACAAGCAGAAATCAACAAAAGAGAACAGAGATGTGCAATGGATATAATCAAAGCTAAAAGTTGGCTCTTTAAAAAGATTTAATACTATTACTAAATCCCTGGGTACAATGACCAGAGGAGGGGAAAAAAAGAGAAAAAACACAAATTACCAAAACTAGGAGCAAAAGAAATATCCAGAACAAAAGAACACCCAAAAGAGGGAAGATGCGGAAACCATAAGCATTAAAAAGATGATAATAATACAAAGCAGAATTAAAAACATTCCCCCAAAGAAACTGGTCCTGGACGGCTGCACTGGTGAGTTCTATTAAACACGTGGGTAAGAAATAATACCAATCCTACACAAACTCAAAAAATAGAAGAGGGAACACTTCCCAATTCAATTTTTGAGGACAGCATTATCCTGATACTAAAACCAGATAATATATATCTAGAGAGCAATATCGCTCATAAACATGTACATAAAAATACTCAAAAAATATGAATGCTGCAATACATCACTAACAATACATCATGGCCAGGTAGTATTTATTCACAGAATATAAAGTTAAATTCTCAATCATTGAAATTCAGAATGAAGAAAAAAACATTAATTTAAAAATTAACATTAACAGAAAAAAGAACACTCATATGATCTTTAATATAAATGCCAAAAAAGAATTTTAATAAAATACACATTCATAATCTTAAACTCAGACTAGAAATAGAAGGAAGCTTCCTTAATTTGACAAAGGGACTTACAAGTAAGTGCAAAACGCTACAGGCCAGATCTCTGCAGGGCACAAAAGTCATCCAACAAGGCGTTGATATGTAAAGCACAACCTTAATGGGAACAGGAATAGTTCCTTTTTTCCGTATTAATTTTGGGTTGAGCTTTCACCACTCAACTCTTTTGAGTTCTCAGGTGGTGGTCCTCGCGGCGCTCTCAAATGTGGAGTCTGATGTCAGAACAGCTGAAGTCAAATTTAAGTTCACCAGTAAATCAACTAAGTTTCAAGGCTCCCAACTTCCCTACATCAGTAAAATAGATATTAGCAATGTCCACAAAACACTAGAGATTACCGGATTATTTTAGAAATGTGGTATTTCACACACAGTATGCGCTAAATACACATTCTTTTGGCTTGCTTTTTTTTCTTCTTTTCCAGCCGCCGACAAGGTCTTGCTCCGTCGTCCCGGCTAGAGTGCAGTGGCGTCATCGTCGCTCACTGCAACCTGGACTGAAGCGACCCTCCTGCCTCAGCCTCCCGAGTAGCTGGGACTACAGGCCTTCGCCACCACGCTCGGCTAATTTTTCTATATTTAGTGGAGATGGGGTCTCGCTCCTGCTCAGGCTGGTCTCCAACTCCCGAGCTCAAGCAACCCCTCCCCCACCCCGCCTCGGCCTCCCAGATTGCTAGGTGTACAAGTGTGAGACACAGCGCTCGGCCTTTGGTTTGCATTTTCCTCAGAGTTTAGCTTAACAGGCATTCGGGAGGAGAAGGGGACAACAGGTGAAATTGAAGTTATCTCAGTCTTCGGGGTTTGTTCCCCCAGCCAGACTCAGGAGGGCTAAAGCCTTGGGTCGCAGAACCGAAGGGTCACAGCCTCTGGGGAGGGCCACGTCCACCAGGCACGTGGGAAAACGGTCAAGGTTTAGGGCATTTGGGTTCATTATGACAATAGTAATCAACACTGTCTACTACGGGACAAACCGACCGCTCCGCCTAGCACCTGCGTCCAAGCTTATACGACCCTGCAGGAGTTGCTGCCTTTGCCACCAACAGGTGAGAATTGGAGACCTGAAGAGGGGCTCGCCCGGGTGCCGCGGGTTTCTGCTCTCGCCGCGCCAATTCTCTGCTGTGCAAGGTCAACGCGCTCGGCCGGAAGGCCGAAGCGCCCCGGGCAGAAAACTCCCCTCCAGCGCCCGGTCCGCTTCCCCGGCAACGCCGGCGGGGGAGCCTAGGCAGGAGCTCAGCCTCTACAGACTTCGCTTGCGCGTCGGCCAAACTCCCCAAGTGCCTGGGCAGCGTCCCGGACAACTTGCCGCGCTCGTGGGAGTCGGGCGCCGCCACGAGGTTCGCGTCCCCGCCCCCACGCCGGTGCTCACCTGCACCACGCAGCAGCCCAGGGCATCCTTCTGAGCGTCCGGAGGGACAATGGTCCGGGGCAAGAACCCCGGGTGCAAGAAGTGAACCATGGCGAAGCCCCACCGGCGGGGCGTCGAGAAGAGAGCGGGCGTCGAGCCTGGACCCAGATCCCGCGAGAGCTGGCGGCGGCTGCTGAGCAACACCAGTCACGCGGACCAAGCACACCGCGCTCGTGGCGGACCGGACCGCTAGGCTTTTGAAACGCCGGGTGTGGTACCGCGCACGCGCCCCCAGGGGGCCGGCCCGCCGCAGACCCCGCCCCCAGGGCCGGCGTTCCCAACCCCCACCCTGGAGACGTAGCGGGACCCCAACCGTCCTCTTTCCGCCGCCCCAGTCCAGAAACCAGCCTTAACCTGCTCAACCACACACCCATCTCCTACTCACCCCTTTGAGACCAACATCCCTCGAGCCCACATCTCAGAGCCTGATGGCTGCCACATAGAGGATCAGCTCTATGGCGTCGGGAAATAGAATATATGTTTTAAAGGCTCTAGTACTTTAAAATATATTTTTCGAAGATTTTACACCCAAAAATCTAGGACCAACAACCTCTTTCATAACAGTCCTCTCTGTTTCAACTCCTGGCGACATTGGATATATCAAATGTAAAATGAATACAAAATATTGGCAAGTATCTAGAAAAAAAGAATACTCAGCTTTCTTGTTACCTAAAAAGTACCAAGAAGACTCATAACTTGCTCCAAGAAAGAAACCTGATAAATTAGTACACTTTAACTAACTTAGGAGAAAATAATGCCTTGGAGAAGGAAAGTTCTTAAGAGTATGAGCCTTGGAGTTTGAACCCTAATTTGGAACACTAGCTTGGCCGTCTGGTAAATTGTGAACCTTGAGCAAGATTCTTGATTTCTCTGAAGCTCAACTTCCTCGTCAGTAAAATGGGATGGGACTGCTTTATCTCACGGGATTAATGTGAAGATTAAATAAGATAATATATGCAAAACACATTACACTGTCTGGCACGTGGCAAGTCCTTGATAAGTGGATTGGATTCAAATGTTAAATTATTTTTGAGTACTTTGCAAAATGCTTTTCTTTCGCATTTATTCTTTAATCCTCTTATTTTAAAAAATTCCTGTACAGTAGGTATCATCCCCATTTTACCCACAAGGAAACTGGAGAACTAAAGGGTTAAATAGACAAGTTAAATTTTTGGCTGGGCGCAGTGGCCCAAGCCTGTAGTCCCAGATACCTGGGAGGCTGAGGCAAGAGGATGGCTTGAGCCCTGGTGTTTGAGGTTGCAGTGATCTATTATGAAGCCACTACACTCTAGCACTCTAGCACTCTAGCACTCTAGCCCAGGCGACAGAGCTAGATCCTGTCTCAAAAAAGAAAAAAAAGAAAGAAAGAAAAAAAAGAAATTTTTTACCCAGCTGATGAGTGGCCAACCTCAAAGTCAAACCTGAGTTTTCTAACTGCAAGTCCAATCGATATGCTTTCTTTAAACTGAGCCATTACCTATTTTCTCCTCCAAGACTTTCAACACCTCCTCCCACATCCACACTCTCACCTTCCTCTTTCACTGAGAAAATAAAATCAATCAAAAAACATCCCAAGCTCCCACCATCACTTCTACTCACCTACCTGTATACACCTTCTGCCTTTTGTTCCCTCCTCTTACCATGATCTATTTATACTCTCATCTATGGCCAACCCCTGGACTTGTGCCCTGGTCCCATCTCCTCTTGCTTACCCAGAGACATCATCCCACAATGTCCTTTCTTTCCCCTGCATTATCAACGTTTCCCTTTCTTAGATTGTTCCTAGCAGCATTTATACAAGCTGATACTTCTCTCATAGTTTAAAAAAATACCTCTTTTGACCCAATTTCTCTCTTCTGATATTGCCCCCATTTCCTCTCCCATTTACCGGGAAAGTTCTCTAAAATGTGGTCTGTACTTGCTGTCTGCAATTCTACCGTTTGTCTTTTACCCCTACAACTCCACTAAACCATTCTTGTCAACTTCCAAGTTGCTAAATTCTTTGGTCACCTCTCATTCCTTATCTTATTTGGCTGTTCGGTGGCATTTAACCCATTTCTTCTTCCCTAAAGTACTTTTTTTTTGAGACAGAGTCTCGCTTTGTTGCCCGTGCTAGAGTGAGTGCCATGGCGTCAGCCTAGCTCACAGCAACCTCAAACTCCTGGGCTCAAGCAATCCTACAGCCTCAGCCTCCCGAGTAGCTGGGAC